AAAGAAAGAAAGAAAGAAAAATAGTGCAAGAATATCATAATGACCCTTTATGATTAAGGAAATATCACCATGAGTGGTATTTACTTTCTGCAATGGCATCATATCGTACTGTAGAATAGAAATGAAGTTAAAATAACTATAAAGGACATATGGTCTAACTTTTCACGTATGCGGAGATGAGGTGGTTAGCTGGGATTGGCCACAGCATCTCAATGAGCAGCGATTTTCTGTTCCCAGGGCAAAGTGTTTCATTTGGAGCATCCTAATTCTGATGGTTCCTTATGCTGCATTCCTTTCAACTCCACTTGTTCATAATTCTGTTTCTAGGAGACAACTATTTCTATTCTATCTTCCCTATGACAACAATTCCAAGTATTTCAAAATTTTGTGTGTTTCTCCCATTGTACTTAAGATAAAATCTAAACTTCAGATTGCCAAAGGCCTCTTAAAATTTGGTACTTAGACTAAAACACAATATCCCAGAAGTCATCTGATAATACAAAGAATGGACATATTAACCCACCATGTTTTGGGAATTCATATTTCTCTTAAGACAGTCTAGGATGCTTTAAAAGATATTTTCATGATTCCAAGTTAAAGTTAGAGATTCTTATAAAATCTAATGTTAACTGACATTTATACGCCGATAATGAGATTTTAGTGGGAGGAATGAGAAGTGGTGCTAATAAGTTTGAATGTAACCATAGAATTAAGATAGTAGCAAAGGCAGAAACTCAAAAATAAAGCAAGTTTCAAGGCAATGATTGAAGTCAATTTAAAGCAAATAGCTTTTGAACCTTTTTTCACTGATTCACAATAAGAAATATATTGTCTATTGAGAATGAGTACAATTATATGTGCATGAAATGCCTTCTGTACTTTCTATTCCTTTTCTTCTCTTTTATCATACCCTATCCAGTGTGACACACAGCTTGAAAAACATGGCTCTAGGCATGTTATAGGAACCATGATAGTATGTAAGCTTGTCCGAAGGATTAAGACACAACTAATCTTTGTCTTCCTCTATAGTGGCTATCTATTGTTTATGTCAGCTCAACATTCATTCACCCACTTTCTGGTAATGACGGCACACTTTTCCTTTTGGAAATTTTCCCTTTCCTTGTTAGCCAGTCCACAGGGTTCAGGTAAATTTCCCGCCCACCTCTCCTGTCCTCTTACCACTCCCGAATTCTCCAAGCTCTGGGGAAGGCAGAGAAGCCATCTCTGACCACAAGGACTGTCTCAGCAGCGGGCACATAACCAAAGCAAGGCCAGTGAACTCTTTTGCCACAAACAAGTTCTTGTTTTGCTAGGCTGGAAGCTGGTGGCAATCAAGTCATTCCCAGGTGGGAAGTGGATAAGAGAAAAGGCAATGGAGTCCTTAGGATGGAAACTGTGACCTCAGATCCAGACTCCTTTTCCTACGCACCAACAAATTTTCCTTTTGAAATTCTAGTGTCAGAAAAACTACTCTTCAGATGATCTTCAGTATGTGAAATAACTTGAATTTTATTAAAAATTTACATTTTCAGACTTCAGTATTCTAAATTTATAAACAGGAAAAATAAACAGAAATCATTACATACTCACTTGTAAATGATACCCAAGTATCTAAAATTATTTTTATATGAGAAAATTAAGTTTCTTGGACATTTAAATGTCATTATCAAGTCTCTTCATCTTTTTTTGAATGTCCACAAATTTCTAGTTTTGCTGTTTTGAGAGTCTCAACTCCATTTATTAAGAAAAATACATTTGAAAAAAGTACGTATTATGTACATTAGGACTTTCACTAAAAATACAATTAAGGAAATCAAGTTGTCCAATTATTTTTCTCAACCAGTATACAGAAATATCATATAACATTATAGATTTATTTAAAACTATAAAAGAAACATTTTAAAGTAAAATAAGTTTTTAACATTTTTTTCAGCTCTATTCAGTATTTGATTTCAAATGTCTACATAATTTATTGATTTAAAAAAATTAATTCAAAGCGCAAAGTATATTGAAGGCTGCAGTCCAAAAAATTACCCATAATTGAAAAGTATAAGTTACAGCTTACATTACAGTGGGAAAATATATAAGAAAAGTGAGACTGAACGTATCTATACCATTCACTGATTGGCCACTGCCAAGTTTGTGACTAATTATAATTTATCTCTATCGGATGTTCATTGAAATTCATTTCTTGGTGTTTGTCAAATACATTTTGTGAAACTCTAGACTACAGTTATTCGTATTCAAATTAGTCCTTAAGAAGTGAAGGCAATAGTTCTTTATGGCAGAATTAAAACAGAGTGAGGTTTATAACACTCCAGTATTTCTAGGAAATCCTTATCAACCCCACGTGGATGGATTTTGCTCCAAGCTGGGAGGTCAGGATTTAACAGAGTGAGTCACTTAATACAGTATTCCCTTGAGGAAATGATTGATTTGGAAAACTTGTGCTTTCATTGTTATTAGCATTAATTACTCCTTGCAGCATGTTACCTAAAGCAGGTGCTCTTAACGAGCCTATCTTAGAATACCTAACAGCAAAAAGGGCAAAACATTACAGCTCTTTTTACCTGTTTTATTATGAATTTCAGCATATTTACAGAAACATTTACAGTTTCAGCTGTAGCAAAATTGGTTTCATCTCAGTAGCTATACATAGAAGACTAAGTAACTTACGGGGAGATTAGAGTCAAAGGGTTTTATTGAAGGGCGGGCACTTCTGAAATTGGTATAAATCAACAAAGTAGTAATCTGAAAAAAAATGACGTTTGCACATTTCTTCTAAATGAGTGTATCTTAAATATCAAATTTTTGAAGCACTAACTACCCTTTATTGCTATAACTATTACAAGTTTAATTCCTGAGGTTTTTGAAGTCAATTAAATTTCTTGAAGAAAGCAAAGAGGAAAGAAATGTTTTTCCCAGATGGGAGGCTGAACTGTGCATCAACAGTCTCAACCGAGTACTTTCTGTCATTTTTCTGTACATCGGATTTTTCACTTGGGATATATTCACACCGTAATTTAGTTATCTACTGGCCTCCAAATGTGTCACTTAAAGAGCTGAAATGTTCAACTGAATGATGGTATAGAAGTAACAATTATTATCACTAAACGTCTGACATTGTTAAGTAGCTTCCCTCTTTTAAAGTGCAAAAATATAAAGTGAGTTTTTTACATCTGGTTGATTTAAATAACAATTCAAGTATCTCCTTTGAAATGATGTTCTAGAAAACATTAATGTTTATGAACCAGAGATTTAAATACATTTTCTGAAAGGCAGAATATTCTTTGAATGTCCTTTGTTTTGATCATTTTTTAAACTGTAGAGATCACAACCTAGCTTTGGCCCACACAATATTTTCGATAGTTCATAATGTTTATCCAAATACTTAACTAAAAATTTAGAAAATCAACATCAAATGCATTAAGGAAAGCTTCAAACTGTAATATTTCATTTAAAAAGCTATGTTCAAATGAAGAGATGGTCTATATCACTTGTGCTTATTTTCATATATAGCCTGATCATTGAGTGTTTGCAAGATGTGTAGTTGTATCGTAGTCTTGAAAATGAATTCCCTTAGAAGTTGTGATCTTCATAACAGCGCCATTTAAAGCATCATCTTCAATGAGTGTTATTAATCCACTGGCAATCATTGATGGGCTAAAAATAAAAGAAATATTAGTATTTTGAAATGAAAGAATGAGGCATATTATCACTTCATCTTAAGTTATTTTCTAAAGAATCTACTACCTGGAATATGAAATAGGGAAATATATGTCATTAAGCCATTGCTACCTCCAATTTTTATTCAATTTGAAGTTAACTAAATTATATGATAAATTTAGTGGTAGATTTTCATGTCTAACCTGTCATTTTGGCAGGAAGGATTTATATTCATTATTTACATTGAGAAAGTGATCATTTTCTCACCTTTTCGGCAGATCTTAGATTTATCTTACATGTAACCATGTTATTTAAGTCTTTCAGAAGTCCCTAAGTTTGTTTTGATATTCTGTACTGCGAAACCCCCAACTACCCTAAGTCAGACTTAATTCATTGTGTGTGGCTGGGCATGAGTAATCCTAGCACTCTGGGAGGCGGAGACTGGCAGATGGCTTGAGCTCAGGAGTTCAAGACCAGCTTGAGCAAGAGCAAGACCCCATCTCTACTAAAAATAGAAAGAAATTAGCCAGACAACTAAAAATAGAAAAAATCAGCCAGGCATGGTGGCTCATGCCTGTAGTCCCAGCTACTTGGGAGGCTGAAGCAGGAGGATCGCTTGAGCCTAGGAGTTTGAGGTTGTTGTGAGCTAGGATGACGCCACGGCACTCTAGCTCAGGCAACAGAGTGAGACTCTGTCTCCAAAAAAAAAAATTCATTGTGTGTGTGTGTTGGGGGAGGGGGGTTGATCAGTTGTGTCTTATAAAAACGGTTGAAGTTATGGATCCATACAATATTTCACAAAGGGCATATTTGAATATTACTTGGAATTTAGGCAGATAAGATATCATTGCCTTCAAAAGTGACTATGACCTTTTAAGAAAATATGATTATGGCTGAAGGTATTAATGAGGCATTGTGTGTATTTTAAAGCTAAATTCATAACATATAAACACATTCTATTCAGAAACTCAGAAAAAAAAAACTTTCTTCCAGAGAGTTCACCAAACCAAAACTTTGAAACTTGTATTACTTTCTCACATTTAAAAGCTTATTTTTTTCACTCTTTATTGCTTGTCTAAATAGTACCTTGATCCACCATATAAGGGAAGATACAGTTTTACTTACTCCAAAATTCCATAGTATTTCATCATAGCCTTGATAGGACCCATATATTCTATATATTGTCCCATGTTTTCTTCTTTTTCAATGGATTCAAGGATGGGCGTGTTAACAAAGCCTGGACAAATGGCATTCATTCTCACACCACTGTTCATAAGATTAGCAGCCATCTGCCAATGAAAAGCAGAAGGTTGGAGGTTTTAGCAGTTTTGTAAACATTTAACATAGGACAAACTGATAATTAAAGCTATTTAAACGACTCTGATGTAAAAAATACTAGTGAGCAATTCTCCCAACTATGTAACAATGACTGGTAAGCAGAAAGATAATAAAAGAACACATACCTAAAGAGACTTTCAGGAATTAATACATTAATATATCTCTTCTAATTAATTTTTTAAAAAGATATTACTGGACAACTCCTGGAAATACTTAATTACCTAAGCTGCTCTTATCTACTGAACTCTGCAGGAACCTGAAGCTCAGCGGCCGAGGCTTAGAATTGATATCCTGAATTTCCTTTCGAAGATTGTGCTTGTAAAACAGGATATTTGCTTAAAAAATACTTTCAGTGAAAATTTTTAGGACTTTGATGGATTTTAAAGAATTCTTCATCTTCACTATCTGGAAACCCATTGAAGTATTTTTAGACTAACATTCTTTGGCTTAATTTTCAACCTATTGATTTTCTTTGAACTATTTGTAAAAAAAAAAAAAAAACAGTAAATCCTCATTATTCATGGATTACATGTTTGCAAATCTGTTTACTTGCTAAAATTTATTTGTCACTCCAGAAACCAATACTTGTGGAGCCTTTGTGGTCATCTGTGGACACAGGCAGAGCAGTGAGAGATCTGGTGCTGAGGTTAAACAAGACTACACTCTGCCTTGCCATGTTTTTCTAATTTTTGTGCTTTTTCTTGGAGATTTTGTTGTTCAAAGTGGCCCCCAAACATAGTGCAGAAGTGCTGTGTAGTGTTTCTAAGTGTAAGAAAACTGTGATGTGCCTTACAGAAAAACATGTGTTCGATAAACTTCAGGCCTGAGTTATAAGTGCTTTAGCCATGAGTTCAATCTTCATACAATATGTAATAAATAAGGTATCTTTAAATAGAAATACTCATAAAACAAGATCATGTATTGATCGGTTGATCAAAATGTTGTAACCAGAGGCATTCAGGAACCTAACCCCGTATTTCCCCTAAAAGCCATAGTTCAGTAGTCACCAGTTCAGTGTTTGCAAGTGACTTCATAGAATGCAACTACTGTGAATAATGAGAATTGACTGTAGAAGTTTCCAGTCTTATAATTTTAAATACAAAATTTCTGGTCTTTAAGATTGACTTTTTTTTTGTAATATATTTATGTGTTTATAGAAAGTTGACTTGAAGATTAAGTCTTTGCAAATTAAATAATAATTTCCAATCAATTTAAATTGAGTGGGAGAATGGCTTATCTTCATTTTTTTATTGAACATTGAACATTTACAAATTGTTTTTTCTGTCCCCTAGTGTTTCTTCTTTTAAAATTTTCCTCTTCATCTCTCTGGCCCCTCTCTTGTCCCACCTAGGTGAACCACTCAGATATCCCCAACTGCTCCTTCCTCTTCTCTATTTGTCCTTTGTAATGCATTTTCCAAATAGCAGGCAGTATGGACTTCTTAAGATGGAAATCTGATCTTATCCCTCCTGTGTTCGAAAGACCCTTCTATGGGTACATTTAGAATAAAATCCAAGCTCAGAATGTTGCCCATGAGCCCCTTTTGGTTTGCCTCCTGTTTGTACCTCCAGTCATACCTCGGCCTACTTTCCTTGCTTGCCAGGCTCCAGCCAAGCTGCTCGGTTATCACAGTACAAAAAGGCAAGCATATAAAAAGGCAAACCTTCTCATCTCATGCTGTCAATGTATGTGGTCAATTAGTTCTAAAGTATTTTTTAAGCTCTGTACACCTTGCGCCCTAGGCCTCCATGGAGATGCTGTACTTGCTCACTCTAGGAAATGCCTGCCCCGCCCCCTTCCAGCTCCATGCTCTCACTCATTTCCATCCTGCTGAAACCGCCCTTCAGTGATGGGCTGCAAGGTGAGAACTGTGGGGCGGGTCTAGCTAAAAATAATGATAATAGTTAGTAACTGTCCCCCTGTAATTGCCACTCCAGAGCCACGCAGCTGGTGGTCATATAGATTCTTAACTTCTCCCCATAGCTGGTGTCCATAAAGATTCTTAACTTTCTCCATAGATAGCATCACCTTTTCGAAACCTAAAGGTAGTTTTTAAGATATCTTCCAGGCCCCGCATTCCAGTGGATCGATTGGTGCACCCAGACCAGCGGCCCATATCAAGTAACTGATGCAACTGGAATCGTGACCCCAGGGACTAGAGCAACATAAGAAGATGATTTCTACATCCCTGTAATTTTGCCCCAATTAACAAACCTAATTGCCTAATCCCTTGCCTACCAAACTATCCTTAGAAACCCTGTCTCCCAAATTCTCAGAGAGGCAGATTTGAGAAATTTCTCCCGTCTCCCTGCTTAGCGCCATGCGAAATAATAAAGACTCTTTCGCGGCCATAAAACCTGCTGACTCGGCATATTGGCTTCTTGGGCAGCCAATGAACCTGGTTGGGTGGCAACAGTATCTCCAGTGACAAGTAATGTCTGGAACCTGTCACATGTTCCATCTAAGAAAGCCTGAAGTTAATGTTTAAATTTGGAGTCAATTTTAAAAATAAATAGTATCTCTCCATTATTTATCCTTAGTATATTTTTCAATAACATATCCATATTTAGAATTTGCTTCATTTTAAAATGATTCATTCTTTATTTGGTCCTTTATGTGATCTGAAAACTATTCTTTTATAATGAAGATTGAAGTATAATATTATTTTTCTATCTTTTATCCAGATATATTGAATTCTCAATTTATTCCCCTCTGCTTTAAAGAATTTATGTTTCATATAGGTACACAAAGAGAAAGGAGAGAGATTATGGTTGTTGTAGCCTCACCGCTGCTGAGCGTGTGAATCCTATTATGCCATGCTTTGACGCACAGTAAACAGGCTGCTGTGCAACAGGCATGAGTCCTGAAACAAATAAGAAATTTAAATAATTTGATTAAAAAATAAGCAGATTCTATCCAATAATGACTATGAAAATGAATATTTTTGTGGCTATTTCAAGTTAAGATTAATCTGGGTAATACACTAAAATAAAAGCAGTGACTTTCTAGAACTCAATAGCTTTAGCATAGTTTATTCCCTCCATGACCTATACTGTCCAGCATCTATAGTGGGTAAGTTACACCTAGGAACATAACCAAGAGCGATATGTAAGTTTTTGTGCCTCTCTGGCTTTCTGGAAAGTCAAGAAAAATCAACGTTATCTAAAATACAAAGATAATCATCTTTAAAGCTAGTAAATTACCACCTAATTTTCAGTTTTAAGTCTGAATTTTAAAAAGTATATATTCTACATTTTTAAGGCTTCCGAATGACTGAAAAAATATGAATTGCATAAGAGGTCTTGGAGATTAATAGTCTTTACAATAAATTTGTAAGCAGTTTCCTGTCAGCAACCTGTCTTGAATGATGTCTCTAAGAGTTTAAGAAAATTAAAAGTTAACTTCTTTTGATCGTAATCTTCAGTAGCTACCTAGATCTTCTTGCCCTATGACTTAGGAAGACAGAAATAAAAGTTTATGGGCCTATTTTATTTCCTTTCATAACTATGTAGTCAACAGTGAAATTTAATCAATTATAGACTATTTCAATTTTTAATTTTCAACATATATACAATAGTAACTGATTAACTTCATGGTCTGGAAAAAAAAGCAGTATTATAGCTTATATATATATAGCATCGTTTTCCCCCTGACTCCTGCCTAGATCAACCCTCCCAAAAAGAAAAAAAACAGCAAGAAAAACCTATTTTACTATAGTAAATATTATCTATCTTGTTTCCTATAATTGTTAATTCTCTAATCAACAGTCAAATTTAACTAGTCATTTTTATATTCAATTTTAACTAATTTCTTGGATTAACTTGTTTCAGTGCTTTTTAAATTTGTGATTTCTCTGAGATAAGAAACAGTGATCCCTGATTACTATAATGCTGTATTTACTATCAAATGTCATGCTAATAATACTAAATTATTCTGCTGAGACATGTCATCTCCACACAGCTAACTATTTCCAGAACACCACCAATCAGTTGAGGGTGTTGTGCCAATGTTCAGCAATAAATGCAGACCTCAACCACTCCCTGGGTGTCTGCCAGGTCTCCTTTGTAAAGTATGTTTGCTCAAGAGCAGTTTAAATCCCTGAGGATGGAAGATCACAGGTAGTACATCTACCCAGTGATCTCGAAGTATTATAACATGTTGGTTCTCTTGTTGTTGTGGCTGTTTTGGGGTTAGGTAAAATGTGTAAGTTAATTAATTTTGTCAGTGTCAGTCAACAAGAATTTGTTTCCACAAGGTACACAGGTATATTAGGAGTATGAAATAAAGGGAATAAATAGGTGTAGCCAGGCATTGTTGCTTTTTGTTCTTTTTAGTCCCTGCTTTATCCATTCCTTAAATGTTTATGAGACAAAGGCAGTGGTTGTAGGATCATGTTCACCTACTGCAGGAAATGCAGTGTGAACCTTAGTCAGAGATAAGCTAGCCAGTTGACACAGCCACAAAAAGTACAAAGACATTGTTCATAAATGTTTCCAAAGAGGAATTTGGAATGCATTTTATTACATATGTAGAGGTGACGAACTTCTGAACCCAAGCTATAATAGCTGGCTCAAGGTGTGTCACAGAGGTGAAATAAATCAAATCCTGTTTTGTTGGTCTGGTAAGAAGCAAGCACAAAATATATATTTTCCGTTAAAGGTTGAATTGTAATGCAACCAGAATGTGAAAGAACTCAGTTGCATTTTTAAAATGGCACTTGGTTTTATGAATCTAACATTCTAATGACATTTTCACTGCTATCCTGTGAAACGTTTACTCTTGCATTGCTTTCACTTTCTAATATTAGATCGAAGTCTACGTAAATCAATTTCAGACATTCAGAGACCAAGTTTACTTTTTTCTTGTTCTTTTTACAGCTTTATTGAGGTATAAGTGACACACAATAAAACTGCATATATTTAAAGTATACAATTTGATAAGTTTTGACATATGTATACACCCATAAAACCATGACCACAGTCAAGATAATGAACATATCAATCACCCTCAAAATTCCCTTGTGCACCCTGGGAATCCCTTCATTCTGCCCTTCTCCTCACCCCCAGCAACCACTGATCTGCTTTGTGTCACTACAGTTTGCATTTTCTAAAATTTTACATAAATGTCATCATATATTGTAAATTATTTTTTTGTCTGATGTTTTTCACTCAGGATAATTGTTTTGAGATTCATCCATGTTATAGCTCATTCCCTCCCCCCCTTTTTTTTATGCTGAACAGTATTCCACTGTAAGGAATGAACTGCATATACTATACATTCCCCTATTTAATAGACTTTGGGGCTGTTTCCAGTTTTGGTGTACTAAAAATTAAGAGAATTATATTTTTTAATTATTGCATTCAGTCAAGTTGTAGTTAATTTAATTAAACAGAAACTTTTTCTTTATCTTAATAATACATATGGATTTTAAGTGTTGCTTCTTATGTTCTGAACAGGCAGAGTAGGTTAGTGATTTGCAGTGCTTTCTCCCCAACTTGCCAATGGACTCCCAATGTAGAAATTGACTACAAGCTTGCTACTTTGAAAATGGAGGCTAAATGGAGGAAGAAAAGCTATTTCGTTTTGGCTTTTTTTTCTTTTTGACAATGATTTTAGTTGGGGATGGATATTTTTCAGAAATCTAACATTTTCTATTGGATCTCAAGATCCATTTTTCCTTTGCAAATACAGCATTATTGCTATTGCGGTTTTAGTCTCAGTGTTGGTTAACCATACTTATCCTACTTGCTACAGACTCACAACACCAACATATAATGTTGTTTCTATGTGTTTCGAATAAAAATTGTGTTCTGAGGCTGGTAATCAGAGTCAACACATAGGATAGGGCTGGGCGTGCGCGGCATGACTCTGGAGACACCATTCATATGGTAGTTGTCACAAATTGTGCCCTCCAAGGTTTCTACAGTCTACTACCTACACAACTATGCATGACAGCCATCTCTGGTACAGGAGACAACTGAGCAAAGTGATTGAGAAGAAGGAACCAGCAGAGGTAGAAAGAGAACAAGCCAAGTGTTGTGTCATAGAAATTAATGATGAAGTATTTTAAAGTGGTCACTGGTATGAAGTGCAGAATCAAATGATAATCACTCTTTGAGATATGAACGAGTCTCAGTATCACCTGTCTAAAAATAATACCTCTTTTGGCTTCACTCCTTTCTCCAGCTACCACTTCATTTTTCTTGAAGATAAAAAGTCCACAAGTGAGTCATTATATCCATTGTCTGTACTTTCCTTACCTCCCATATGTTCCAGAACTCATTCTGATTAGGCTTTCCCCTGACCACTCCAGTCAGACATCTCATGGCGCTTGCCAGGGAGCAGCATCTTGCTAAGGCTAAGTCCCTGTTCTTCATCTGGCTTCGTCCTTTCCTCAGCAGCAACTGACACAGTTAGTCATGCTCTCCCAGAAACGCTTCCTTCTACAGGCTGCCCTCCTTCTACCTCACGCTCGCCGGCAGCTGCTTCTCCGTGTCCTCTGCTGGATCCTCCTTCTCGACCCGACCCGTAAACCTGCTGGAAAACTCCAGAGCTGTCCCTGGCCCTCTTTGTTTTCCTATGTACACTTTTTCCCTAGGTAATTTTATCCACTCCCATGGGTGAAAATTCATTCTCTCAATTTCTCCCTCTTTGTGTCACACACATAGATACACACACACACACACATACACATATATGCATGCACACACATACACATATACACTCTCTCTCTTTCTTCTCAAATTTAAACTCTGGATCTCCAGCAAGGACCTGTCCCCTGCCTTAAACTCTAGAGAAGGCATTTTGGGTTATTTTTTGTCATATTTCCTAATATTTTTTTTTCTTTTCTTTTTTTTTTTTTTTGAGACAGAGTCTCACTCTGTTGCCCAGGTTAGAGTGCTATGGCATCAGCTCAGCTCACAGCAACCTCAAACTCCTGGGCTCAAGCGATCCTTCTGCCTCAGCCTCCCGAGTAGCTGGGACTACAGGCATGCGCCACCATGCCTGGCTAATTTCTTTCTATTTTTAGTAGAGACGGGGTCTCGCTCTTGCTCAGGCTGGTCTTGAACTCCTGACGTTGAGCTATCCTCCCACCTCGGCCTCCCAGAGTGCTAGGATTACAGGAGAGTTTTTTTTTTCCTTAAAATACAGTATGTGCTAATTCCAAAGATTATATAGGAGTGAATTCATTTCAGAAATGTACCATTAGTACCATTAGTACAATTAGTACCATTAAATGTAAAGTATAATGAAAACATCTTTTAAATATAGTAAATTGAAATGCATATAACCACCATTTTACTAAAAAGTTACTCCTCATACTATTTAACCACATAAAAATGTCCTTATATTTAGAGAATAGGAAGACATGCCAAAGACTGAGAAGAAAATACTTGCAAAAGAAATATCCAGTGAAGGACTGTAATCCAAAATATGCAAAAACCTTAAAACCCAACAAAAAGTAAATAATCAACTCAATTAAAAAATGGGCAAAATCCACCTTAGCAAAGAAGATATACGTATGGCACATAAGCATACGAAAATATGTTCAACATTATATGTCATTAGAGAATTGCAAATTAAGACAACAATGAGATTCCACTATACAACAATTAGAGTGACGAAAATCTAAGCACTGAAGATACCGAATGCTGGAGAAGATGTAGAGCAACAGGAACTCTCATTCATTGCTGGTGGGAGTGCAAAATGGTACAGCCACCTTGGAAGACAAGTTGGCAGTTTCTTAAAAAAGTAAATATACTCTTATGATACAATCCAGCATTCGGTTCCTTGGCATTTACCCAAAGGAACTGAAAACTTGTCTACACAAAAACTTGCACCTGGATGTTCATAGCAGCTTTA